GTTACAGGAACATGTCATGGCTGTCAGTGCTGGTTGGTTTGTTTTTTAATCTAGGAGATTTTACACCCCCTACTATTTAATGTAGGTGATTTTAGAGCCCCTAGTACACAGCTTAGATTATTTAGAAGGCCGGCTTCCGATCCTCACTGTCAGGTCAGCCCCGGATTGATACAACATCCCTGCAGAAAGATTGAGGTACTCGATAAAAAACAATCTCTAGCCACTCTGGAATCGAACTCGGGTCACCTGCAGCAGACAGAGAAGCAATTTTCACAACTACAGCACAGACACCAGCAGGTAGCAATGGTAGGTCTCTACGAGTATGCTGCCCTGAAGCTACCCCTGCTTCTTCTGCCTTCTCGCTCTCAATGGACAGGGAGACAGAGATAGCGAGACAGAGAGAGAGAGAGAGAGAGAGAGAGAGAGAGAGAGAGAGAGAGAGAGAGAGATGATCACTATCAGTAGCTTATTTGTAAAACTTGAAAAGATGGTTGGCGAAGAAAGACCAAAATAATCAAGACAATAATATAGTATGCTTTAAAAACAACAACATGTTATTGTGAGAACTTCTGGCACTTTAAAAATCAACTGTCCGTTTAGCTTAGGGAACTGGTATTTCATAGTCACAGCAGTCATCGTTTTAATATGTAGGTCTAATGTATTGGCACGTCCTCAGACAGGTTGATAGCAAAATGCGCATTTCGGCTAAGTCTTTCACTTTTTGAGGCCGCAAAGCACCGTCACTGAACGCCACTGAATAGACTTAGATGACAACATCGAGAAGGAAATTAAAATGGCAGGCCAGATTCATTGTAAAATGATCCTGCTAAGGAAGATAGAGAGGATGGCTCGATGGCCACCTTTCAGAACGTTCTAGCCTAGTCCCTGCCAGGGAAGTGAGCTGGGACAGTTTCACACTGGTCAAAACTCAGTGCTGGCTGAAGAAGCTTTTTGGGAATCCCGCATTTTGTCCAGCTTGGTAAGTTCACTGAATACTGAGTGTCTGAAGAGACGATGTACAAAGGGGGCACAAGTACACGCCGTCTCACCACTGAGAAGGCCGTTGTCAATTATTCCCCATAATGTGCAGCTGAAAAATAGCGTACCAAAACACTGCTTGATGGGCTAGGTATGTACTATGTAATGTTTCTTTGAACTTGTTCCAAAATCTGTTTCCAAATTCATGTTTCGTTGAAGGTGGGAACATTTTCCCGAAACGCAAGCAAAAACTATCTGGAACAAGATTCAGAGTAGAGAAGATCTAAAGAATAGCAGAGTAAATAGGACACACCACAGGAAGTAGGCGGAACATGGCCTCCAGTAGGCGCCTCATGGCGGACAACAGCTGTAGCCTCGAAAGATCCGAGGAGGAGGAGGAGAAGGAGGAGAAGGAGGAGGAGGAGGAGACAGGTGTGTTTGTGGGTCCGCTCCGCCGAGACAGAAGTCCCGACCAGCTCGCTGTGCTCATCTTCCGCCTGCTCAACTGCGTGGGCGTGAGGAGCACAGACATCTGCAAGATCTCCGTCAACACACGGCTGGGCTACGCCAAGGTCGGCCTGCACGCGCTCACCTGCCAGGAGTACGCGCTCAGGGTGCTAGGAGAGCCGCAGAACGTGATGAGTATCTTTGACCTGAGGGACATCAGTCTGAGGCCGCACCGACTGACGGTGCAGAGGTTAAGGGTCAATGGAGGGAAGGACGAGATGGTGAGCTGGGTTTTTTTTTTCTCTTTATTTCTGGACGTAGATCTAGGTGTTTTTGTGCCCCCATCGACACAATTTAGGTAGATTTGGAGGATTTGAGAGAAAGAGAGTTGTAACTAAAAAAAAGTGACAAAGAACAGTCTATATATATATATATATCTTTAAAACGAATCTTATCACAACTTTGTGTGTGTGTTTGTGTGTGTGTGTGTTTGTGTGTGTGTGTGTGTGTGTGTGTGTGTGTGTGTGTGTGTGTGTGTTTTGACAGTAGCTAACGCACCACGTGCACAACCCTATACTAATCAGACAGAGCCACTTCGATAGGATTGGACAAGAGGAAAAAGGTCATTTAGGAATTGAACTCTGGTATTTCACGAGCGACGGCAAAACGTTTAACTGCTACACCCCAAACACCCATCTCTACGTCTTAAAGAGTTCAAATCTCGAGACGTCCCTGAGCAGTGGTTCTGTGGTCGATGTTTCTGTTTCTCTGTTAAAAATAATAGATGGCATTCGTAAAGCGCAAATTCCCGCTCATCAGCAAGCTCTATGCGCTTCTCAATCTATACTATTACCCGAGCAGACCTAAGAGCATTCTGAAACAACTTCAACTTCCTGGGAAGAAAACAGGGCAAGCAGCCATTTTTAGGCTGTAAAACACTAACATACTGACACAAATTTTTGCTGCCTATGGCTGAGTACCCATTCCCACCGCGGTGAAGTGAGGACAATTCATTAAAATGTCTTTTCCAAGGACACAACGTCGGGCCTGCGGCTCGAACCCCCTAACTCTCAACCTCTCGATTACGAGTCCGGTAGGCTAACCACTAGACCACCGACACCAAGGCTTCTCTGTTCTTACTGTTCTCTTTGTCCTTGTGGTGACGGTGCTCTACGTCTTGTGCTTAGTCGTGGGTTTGAACCCAGTTAGGGCCTCATGTTGTGTCCTTGGGAAAGGCAGTTTACACGAACTTGCCTAACTTCATGCGGGTGGGAACGGATATCCGGGTAAAGGCAGCGAACGATCTTGGCGATTTGTTAGTGTTTGAGCTATTAATATGCTGCTTGCACTGTATACTTCCTGGGAAACCGAGAATGTTTTAAAATGTTCTAGGGTCTGCTGGGTACAGCAGTCCATGTGGGCGGGAAGTGGGTGCTCTGGTGTTGTTTGCTCCTTCTTTCCTGTCAAACATCTATCGTATTTATCTCACCTTTTTTCTATGTATGTTCCTATCTTGTGAAACCTCTAATTTTCGTCACTTGTATGATCTATTAGTGTTGTTAGTGCCGTGAAGCTCTTACTAAAACTAACAGACTTTTCTAAAAGTTCAAGCTCATAACCGTCTCTGCCTATTAGTCCACACGGTGGGATCTTGTCAGACTTCACATAATAAACAAACACATGTGTTAGTTCACTCCCCAGACCTCTGCCTGTATCCAGGCTTCTCAGCCCTGCCAAGGTCACTGCCAAAGTAACTGTCAAGGTCACTGCCAAAGTCACTGCCAAGGTCACAGCCAAGGTCACTACCAAAGTCACTATCAAGGTCATTGCCAAAGTCACTGTCAAGGTCACTGCCAAAGTAACTGTCAAGGTTACAGCCACAATCACTGCCAAGGTCACAGCCAAGGTCGCAGCCTGAGCATGCCACAGACTAGACACGTTAGCACGGGGCAGAGAGAAGCGACATCCCCGCCAAGATCTCGCGCTACTGAAGGCGTCAAGGAGGCCCCGCTCAGCCCCGTGCCCGCCCACTCTCCCCGGCGAGAGACTCCCAGTCCTCGTGGAGAGTCAAAGGCTTCATCTAATGATCGTAAAGAACCAGAGGTGCAGGGTTCGAATCCTGGGCAAAGAGATACTGTGACGGGGTCTTCCTCCCTTCCGCCGGAGGCTCCCAGTGACAGCAGCTCGACCCAGTCTCTGCCCCGGGAGTTCACGCGCTTGGAGGAGGAAGACGACTCTCTGTCCGCAGACCCGGACTGCTGTAACCGATCACGCTGCTGTGACGCCCCGCCAGAGACCACAGCGTCATGTGACACACGTGGCAAAGGTATTTGTGACGTCACAGCCCGCCTCAACACGTCACAGAGCAGGAGGCAGGAGGGCGGGGAGAGCCCGGAGCCAGTTTCCGACAACCCTGGACGCCAGGCTGAGACGTCTGGGGAGGATAATGCTCCTGGTGGGGGTCCCTCAGACCAGCACGATCTATCTAGTGGTCACTCAGACCAGCACCACCTATCTAGTGGTCACTCAGACCAGCACCACCTATCTAGTGGTCACTCAGACCAGCACCACCTATCTAGTGGTCACTCAGACAAGCACGACCTATCTAGTGGTCACTCAGACCAGCACGACCTATCTAGTGGTCACTCAGACCCGCACCACCTTCCTAGTGGTCAGTGTGAGCAGGAAGGCCGTGAAACAGCCACCACGTCACGCCACGTGGACACAGACCAGCAGAAGTCGCCGACGGTCAACTCTCACAGTCTCCCGTCCCAGGACAGGCCGCCCACAACTTCCGGCACCCAGGTCACCGCTGGCCGCGACGCCTCTGAGCCGGCAGCGCTCAAACTGGACGCAAAAACCTCCACATCGACCTTGTCCCCCGGGTACAGCTTCTGCCTGGAGAGATCTTTCTACCACAGGGGGGAGCGGGTGTTGGTGCCGGGCTGTGTGGAGAGACAGAGCGAGGGCGGACCACCCTTTGTGGAATACTACGGGTAGGGAACATTCCTCGATTTTCGCGTTTGTTGTCAGAAATCTGGATTCGTTTACCATGCATAGGAAGGAACTCCCTCATTCCTTTGTCTCGCAGTTATTTTCCAGGACATAAGTGTGAGTTCATAATCTTTTTAGCTTTAGTAAGACTTTCACGTCACTTGCAACACAATAAGGTCATATAAGAGCCGAAGATTAGAGGTGTTACGAGAGAGTAGCACACACAAAAAGAGGAGGGGAGATCAGGACGATAGATGTATGATAGCAAACCACACAAGAGCACCCGCCAACCTCAAGACAATAACGAGATAACTGTAAAAGACAAAGGGAATCGAAAAAATGCTTCTATGCTCTTGTAAATAAGTGGGAAAGGCAAGTCTTAGTGTAAAGACAAGCGCATGTCAATTTTGGAACACATTCTTTTTTTGTTCTCATGTTATTATGTTTGTAGACATCCCCACTCTCTCTGTCTCTCTGTCTCTCTGTCTCTCTGTCTCTCTGTCTCTCTCTCTCTCTGTCTCTCTGTCTCTCTCTCTCTGTCTCTGTCTCTGTCTCTCTGTCTCTCTGTCTCTCTCTGTCTCTGTCTCTCTCTCTGTCTCTGTCTCTCTGTCTCTGTCTCTCTGTCTCTCTGTCTCTGTCTCTCTGTCTCTCTGTCTCTCTGTCTCTCTCTCTCTCTCTCTCTGTCTCTGTCTCTCTGTCTCTCTGTCTCTCTCTCTCTGTCTCTCTGTCTCTCTGTCTCTCTGTCTCTCTCTCTGTCTCTCTCTCCCTCCCTTAAATTAACCCCCCTCCCTCTCCCCCCCCCCCACCCCAAGAAGCAGCAACTGCTACATCGTACATCAGAGGCGGTACCGAGAGCGCACGGCGTGTTCTGTGTGCGCCATGCTGAACACGGAGGGAGGGGCCATCTACTTCGGCGTTCACCCGGACGGAAGGGTCAAGGGCGCCGTTGTGAGCCAGAGGATAGAGGACCAGCTACGCTGTGACATCGACACAATGGTCATGATGATCAAGCCAATGATATCCCCGTCAGCGTACAGCGTCAATTTTGTCAAGGTACGCTCAAGTGTACTTTGGTAACGTTTGTGGTTTTTTGTGGGGTTTATTTTGTTGTTTGGGGGGGGGGGGGGGGAAAAAAAAAATTCCTACATAGGAGGGGTGGTTCTTGATCTCTCTCCTTTCTCAGAGTGTCTTCCAAGTTACAACTTCTTTTCTTTTTTAAAATGTAAGTTTTTCTGCTTTTCTATCCTCATCATTCCTGTCGTCACTTCTCCTCTACTTTTTTTGGTTTGTTTGTCACTCTGAGTCTAATATTCGAGACAACATGACTGTCTTTTTCTTTTTCGTTTGTGCGTGAGTGTTTAGTTTGTTTGCTGTTGTTTTTGTTTTTGCGCTTCGAAAATAAGACGTCGTAAAAACATTTAGGATAATTGAAGAGTGGGGGGAATCTTTGAATCTTATTTCCTCCAAACTATGCCTCACGAAGTTACAATCTCTTTAGCCTAAGGACGAGAGCTACGTGACTCGTATTTTACTCAGGGTGGGGAAAACAATTAAAATAAAGTGTCACCATCATTGCCTTTCTCACCCTGCATCAGGGTATAAGCAATGGGCCTTCCTATAATTATCATGGGATAGCCTTTTGGTGTTATTCCATGCCTTCGCTCTCTTTTGTACATCAAAATAAACTATAATCAACATGAATAACGTTACGTTTGTGTAATGGGAACCTGCGTGTTTCTGTTAGGTTTGGGATGGGGACCTCCGTGTATGTCTGTTCCCCAGGTGATGGGCGACAACGGTCAGCTGGTGCCGGACCTCCGAGTCCTGGAGATCGTGATCAAGAAACAAGAGAACCAGTACAGGTTAAATGGAAACATCTACGTCATCAAGGAGGGCCGAGTGAGGATAAGTAGACAGAGCTGACCACCGAGTGAGGATAAAGTAGACAGAGCTGACCACCGAGTGAGGATAAGTAGACAGAGCTGACCACCGAGTGAGGATAAGTAGACAGAGCTGACCACCGAGTGAGGATAAGTAGACAGAGCTGACCACCGAGTGAGGATATAGTAGACAGAGCTGACCACCGAGTGAGGATAAAGTAGACAGAGCTGACCACCGAGTGAGAATAAAGTAGACAGAGCTGACCACCGAGTGAGGATACAGTAAACAGCTGACCACTGTGCTGGAGACTGCATACGTCAAGTGCTCTGATCGTTTGTGTATATCGTGGGTCGGCCGTTCAGATTTAAGAAGCCCAAAGATCCTTTTTAATGACAGATTCATAATCTGTGGTTTTGATTGTATGTGGTCAATGATAGTAAATAACAAGATGGGCCACTCAGCCAAAAAAGTGTCCGCAGGAAGTATGCTCTTTGCTTCAGATGGCGCTGCAGTCTGTTTTGAAGCTCTCTTTCGTTTTTCCAGAAGAAGAATAGGAATAGCACCTCCCTGCGTGCGCAGAACGACTGCTGTTCATCAGCAGTTCGGGTACGTTCAGTGCGGAGTTTTAGGGTTTTTAAAATTTTAATGACCTCTCGCCTTTCATTCTAAAGTCAAATTACACGAAGAAAACCATCACCCTTTCCTCCGGAAGAGGTTTTTTGTCAGGGTAACCTTTTTAAAAAAGCGTTCTTCCGAAATTTATCCCAAAACTTGCTAGTTTCACTTTGATTTTAAAAAACTCAAGTAGGGTAACTCTGTTCGCAAAGAGTGCGCTTTTGTGAAGAGGGCGCCACCAAATTTTGAGGACACTTTTTTAATTGGCTCAAAGAGAGAAGTGGCCCATCTTGTTATGTACTATCTTTGATGTGGTCCAGAATATCTTTGGTCGAAATCAGACTCTAATTGTTGAAATTATGTATTTTTTAACGGAAGATTTTTTTTTAAAGTCAGGGGGGTAATGGTGGGGGGTGAGGGAGGGTGGGGGTGGGGGGCTCCGGAGTTAAAAGAAAATCCACATCACTTTTGATACAATAACATCTACAGTTGTGAAGGTATCGATACCATTATCGAAACTTTGAATACCCTAAAACACCGAGCTTTGCCGATGACGCTGAAAACACGTAACAACCATGTCGTGTTGATCAAAAGAAAATGTCAAGATGTCTTAGAAGCTTTTGGCAGATTGCGCGGTGTTTTTGACAATTTGATATAGCTGTCGATGGCATGGCGATCGCATTTAAATAGAAACAGTTCATACAAACAAGCTCTTATTGAGTTTCTTGAATTTTTAAAAACAAAATGAACACTACAATGGAAAAACTGATGATGTCACTTTTTTTTCCAATTTCCTGAAAATTTAGATCCAGAAATTTCCTTTTTCCTTTCAGAGGGAGAATTATTCGAAGATTCTGTGTTCTACTGTTGGAGTATTAATCTTGTGCTTATTTTAGACCGGTGTTTTTAAAATTTAATCATCTTTGCGTCGCACAATTCCGGGGTGGGGAGGGTTCGTGGGGGGCGGGGGGAGTTTTGAAGAAAAAGACTATGGTTTGGACATCACTGGCTTTATTTCCTTCCGGTTGTCCAATATTTCCTACACGGCATCATGCTGAGAGGGGTCGGCCCAGGAACATAGCAATTGTGGGGTTTTTCTCCTCCTCGGGCGTAACTTCTGACCCCATTGTATAAGGACGTCTATTTTGATCTTTCCATCACACGCTGTTTTCACGTACTTGTATAAAACTTTCATATTATGTCTCAATCCGTTTTCTATGTTTACATGATAGTTTACGATGGAAGGAAACAACATGCATATCCTGAAATAAGCAAAATTGTGTTTCTGACTTGTGTATGATGGCTCGGTGTGTAGCGCAACATTGCTCTTGGTCCCTGCTGGTCGGACATATCTGTGTGCTACGTACGTGTAAATATTCAATGAACGTTTCCACAATATGGAGGGTCACAAAGGACGAAGTCACACGCTTAAGTTTTCTGTCCTCTTCTCCCTCTCTCCCCCCCCCTCTCTCTCTCTCTCTCTCTTTCTCTGTCTCTATATCTCTCTGTCTCTCTATGTCTCTCTCTGTCTCTCTCTCCTCTCTCTTTTTCTACCCCCCTCTCCCTCTCTCTCTCTTTCTCTGTCTCTATATCTCTCTCTCTCTCTCTCTCTCTCTCTCTCTCTCTCTCTCTCTCTCTCTCTCTCTCTCTCTCTCTCTCTCTCTCTCCCTTACCCTATCCCCACTGAAATGTAGATCAGTTTTTAAAAAACAATTTACTTTCCAGAACTAACTTTCTATGCACAATGCACACATCAGATGCATGGCCCCACTCCTGCACAGAGCATGCAAGGCATGGGGGCTCTCGTGGCCTAGAGGTTAAAATGTTCGCCTCTCGTTCAATAGGCCCCGGGTAGTGACGGAAAATAAAATTTTCTTTTCTAAAATGGTCTCCTTTCATCTCCTTTCCTGCTCTCTAGCAATGTTCTGTCGTCTGCTTTCGTCTTCTCTTTCTGCCCCCACCCCCTCCCCTCCTTTACCCCCTCCTCTGGGCTCCTGACTCTTTCTGCAGCCTTTCTACTGCTACTCCTTGGCTCCTTCTTACTGCTGTCTTTCAGTCACACTCCTGATCTACACCTAACCTTCTCGGACAAGGGCTAACAATCTCGGAAGTCCCGTGCGCACGTTAAAGATCCCTTGGTAGTCTAAAAATCGGTAAGAGTAGGCTTTAGCCGCCACCCAGGCAAAATTGAAAATCTCCTACGAACTGAAACTATGTAATGTGTCCCACGCACTCATATGACATTATGCAGTTGCGAGCGCCGTAAAACACTAACTAAAAAAATTTTTTAAAACAACAACATCCAAAAAAAGCACAAGATATCCGATAAAAGCTTTGGAGAGTATTCTGATGACGTCAGTGGGAAGTGCGCTCTTGTTGGGGAATGTCGAGTTGAAACTTGCGTAATTCTGTCTGAGTGAGAGGAAACCCGTCCACTCTATGGATCGACTCGTGTCGACAGTAGCGATACTTTCAGAAGCTAACTAATCTGTTCCACTTGACGCATCGACCTGCTCCTCCTACTTAGCAGTGACATTTTTGTCAATGCAGGTGGGTTTTGTTTTTTGTTGAACGCTCCCGTGGATCTAATGTAGATCATGCAATGACATGTCAGCACTAATGAGGACAAGAATAACAGACAGACAGACCGTTGTGTTGTGTTGTGTTGTTTGTTGTCTCGGTTTTCCCTGGTCGCTTTGGAAACGTGAAGTCACGTCAGTGGAAATAAAACGATAACACCAGTAGCGACAACAACACAAGCGCAACAACTGCAACAACAATAACATTAACTCTATACTTTTTGTGGTATTTGTACAAAAATAGAAATGTCGACCACAACAACAACAACGTTCGATCTGTACATATTTGTTGTATTCCTAAACAAGAAAATGTAGCAAGAAAGGTGTGAATGATCTGAGTGGTGAAATGGTGTTTCCCAAAGGTTAAAAGTAGGAGTAATTTTTGAAAATGTTTATCCTTATTTATCATGTTTTTCTCATTGTCTCTCTTCTGTTCAAACTGTCTCTGGACGACACGGTCATGGGGTATAAAGTCAACGTTTGTTTTCGACATCTCCCCCCCCCCTCCAACCCCTCAGGAAAGTCTCGGAACTAACTGTCAGTTGACCCGTAACTTCACGGTGACTGGTAACTTTTTGTTACATTAACAGAGACTGTGCCCACCATTTCGGAACTTCACGGTGACCGTAAAGATGGTTCCAGTAGGGAACAGGATAGGGGGTGCCCAGGTCCCTCGTGACTCATTGGAGCAGAGGAAGATAGGACTAACGCTAACATTACTTAAACGTTATCCCACATCATCACTCATCACCGCGACTATTTCTAAAATCATCGTTGCTCTCAGATCAATGAATCTCTATCTGTAACAGTTACTTGTCATACTAAGTATACACGTAATACACTATTGGGCGCTATCATAGGCACTTTTTTCTACTAATCGGATGGCGTCAATCTCATATAAATGATCAAGAGATTAAAAAACAACAACTGTCAATTGATCAGGTCCGGGCACTTGAGAAAAAGTAGTATCCTTATCGATCAATGAACTGGCAGGTGTTGAAAATAGTTGAATGTCCTCCAAGATTTTCCCATTGAGTTCCTAACTGTAGCTATGATTTACTGTAAAACGGTTGACTGATGGTCGGGAGTGGGCGTGTCTCACAGGGGAACGTGCTCACAATCACATACGGAGTTCTGCTCACATAGAGAGACACAGGGAGAGGGGGCGAGAGAGAAGGAGAGAGAGAGAGAGAGAGAGAGAGAGAGAGAGAGAGAGGGAGAGGGAAGGGGGGAGAGTGTGTGATGGAGAGAGAGTGTGTGATGGAGAGAGATAGAGAGAGGGAGCGAGTGAGAGCGAGGAGGAGAGGGAGGCAGAGAGAGAGAGAGAGAGAGAGAGAAGAGAGAGATAGAGAAGAGAGAGATACAGAGAGAGAGAGAGGGAGAGATAGAGAGAGAGAGATAGAGAGAGGGAGCGAGATAGAGAGATGGATAGAGAGAGAGAAAGAGTCAAACAGAGTAAGAAATAAAGAAGCACGCTGCACGTGATACAGCACGTGTATATAATTACCCCCTCCACCCCCCACCCCCCCCCAACATGCACTAATATGACCCGCCTTGTGTGGACATTTGGTCAGTCGGTCCGGCCGAGAGCCATTGATAAGATCCGATCAGATTCGATGAGATGCCACCTGACTTTGTTGCATGTTGGCAGGCAAGCGACGAGGGAAGGACATGAGAAATGTATGTGGCGTTCACTGGACGGCAAAACGTCATTATTCCGGTAGGAGGGAGGGAGATAATTCATGTATAAATAACACGGAGATAGAAGAGCGAAGGACGACGGGGAAAAACATACACAGATGGCTGGAGTAATTTTGTGAAACAAACAAAACAGCAACAACAACAAAAAAACACAAGCTGATCAAGATGACAGTTTAGTTTTAGTACTGTAAACTGAGGTGACTCAGGCATATAGATGGGAAACATGGAAAATAACCCCAAATTGATTACTCTTTTGGGCAATGCTTTGTAGAAATACTCAAAATCACTTTTGATATCGAAAATAATCATCTCAAAATCATGATAACATTTTCCCAGATATGCCTTAGTCACCCCGGTTTCCCGCAAGGTTTTACGGTCATTAGAGTGCCAAGGGGTGGATGTCAACAGAGAAGTTCAAACAGGGAATCAGGCTTCCTCTGCTCTCCTCTCTAGCCTCAAAAACACAAAGTCTACTGCGGCTATCAGCAGTTCACAAAAGTGTGACAAACATACAAAAGAAGCAGAGGACAATGACGATAGTAAGGATGAGGAAAGAAAAAGCAACAGTTCCCCCTATGTTGTCCTTTCACAGTATGAGCATGACATTCATAAATCAGCCCATTTACAATTCTACTGTGCATAAAAACATGTTAATGTCTCCCCTTTGGAAATGGCCTAAAGACACTTCTGTCAGTAGCACTACCCTGATTTTTTTGGGGGGTGGGGGTGGGGTGGGACCTACAACAGGAAGAAATGGAGTGCCTTGATTGTCAATGTCTGCTCCAGACCTGACCCCTGAAGAAGTAAGAAAAGACATTCTAAGATCTTTATATAGACTTTGTACTGTTGAAGCGAGAGAGGTGAGCAGAGTAAGCCTGATTCCCAATTCGGACTTCTCTGTTGACATCCACCCCTTGGCGCTCTCATGACCTTATGCAGTTGCGAGCGCCGTAAAACCTTACAAAAACTAAACTAAGATGTTTATGCAGGGGAGTGAAAGGTGGATTGTATTTTGATTTTTTGTTTTTAAATGTAGGTGGTTTTACGCCCCCATGGACACTATTTAGATAATTTAGGAGACTGTTTTCTGGCCCTGAACAGACTGATATACTGGATAACAAACTTTCACCTATTGGGAATCGAACTTGGGTCCTCTGCGTGCGGCAGCAAAGAGTCTAACCGCTACCCAACAGACGTCGGTTATATTTCAATCCATTGGTCTAAGCGTGGTATAGTCAGAGCACATTGGTCATTATTGACACGTTTTATTAAACGTTTGAAGACTCCAGTGAAAATACCAGGCACCGCACCACAGTCTTTTAAACAAGGAGTTGTTTGTTGCATCTTTTCTCCGTTGATATTTTTTTTCCACTAATGACCTCACGGATAACCCAGCTAGGCCCTGTGCTGTGAAAGGCACAAGAAACGCTATACTGTAGTGAAAAAGATGCGGACTTTCAAACTTTACATTTTCTTTTTCTCCACTTAAAAAAACCCAACAACAAACAAACCAATATGCCTTGTCAGGGGTTGGCAAAAATTTGTCTTCTTGGAGGACCAAAAGATCATGTTATTCCACAGTTCATTACTTAAAGGCTCGAGTATAAACGTTTTTCCTAGGTCCCAGGTCTGCTTCGTCTGATGAAGACAGGCAATCAGAGGGTAACCACGACACATTGCGGAGACACATCTTTTGTTTTCACGCGGAATGTTGTGGGCGTGTTGTGGGCGTCAATGGACGTGAGAAGGCAACGAAGAGGCGAAAGGTGAAAGGTCAAAGAGGTTGATTATACTACTCAGTAAAACGAGTTCCCCAGACGAGCAAGTCACGAGAGTTTAACGCTGCCAGGCGAAGAGAATGTTTCTTTTTCTCCCAGTCCCGACTCGGGAATACGAGAGTAGTGTCATATTTCTGGGTGAGTGTCGGGGTGCCGCACTGAGGTGCTCAGCCAACGTTGAGAAATAACAGCAAAATAGCATTCATAACGTCAACCACAATATTGTTGACAACAACCAGATGTTTATGGTCGCTGACTTGTCTGTCATTTATGAGCGAACAACAACAACAACAACAACAACAACAACAACAACAGCAACAAGCAAACAAACAAACCAACAGACAGATAGACAAACCTACCAGATGTTTATGGTCGCTAACTTGTCTGTCCTTTATGAGCGAACTTCTCTCTACCCAGAACACCGGAAGTGGAAGCCCAGAAGTGGCGATGTTCCGGCCGTGCGCATGCGCACTGGACTCTGGTATCCCGACATTCCACTGTAGCTTGAGGTTCCGCTGCCAGACTTTGCCCGTGACGGCCTCCACTGTTATCTGAAACGGAAGTTGCAGCGCCGCCTGTTAGTATTTTTTCCTCCTCTTAACCCTCTTCCTCCCTCTAAAAAAACCCCACAAACAAAACCCACACACGTTTTCATTACGTTCATTAAAAAAAGAAAATTCCCACCAAAAACAAAAATTAAAAAACCAAAAAATTCTAGAAACTTCTATCAGACAGTGAGTATAGGATTAGAAATCTTCAACCTCTTGCTAAAAGGGATAGGGATTGGATTTTTAAGGTGGTTTTTTTAAATTAATGTAATGCGCATTGAGCTTCTTTTTTAAAAAGAAAATGGACATGCAAAGCATAAACGCTGTTTATTATTGTTATTATATTATAATAATAACAATAATAATTATTATTATTATTATTATTATTATTATTAATATTACCTAAATCGATCACAGTATTCTGTTTGATCTTTGAGTTAGATTGACACAATGAGGTTCATATTATGGAGAAACCAAAATTTTAAATGTGCACTGCTTTCTGAATGACTCAAATTTCTCTCTCTGTCTCTCTCTGTCTCTCTGTCTCTCTCTGTCTCTCTCTGTCTCTGTCTCTCTCTCTCTCTCTCTCTCTCTCTCTCTCTCACACACAC